CTTTGCGGTTTTACCCCTGAATGACGTCACATTTTCAATCTCTATATGGACACACTCAGAGCAAACATGCTGTCCTAACATCTCCTTACTCTTAATCTCAAACAGTCTTACTCACTATTATAAGTGCAAAAAAATCGAGTGCGTACATAAAATGAACACTGGATTCATTAAACGTGCATGCCTGCCTATCCTGTTTGTATCACCATGACGATGTTAGCAGATCAGGATCTAAACAAAGGGCTTTACATTACTTCTATAAGGAAACATGTTGTGGAGGGCGGAAACATGGAGGCAGGAAAGCAGCAGAAAATGTGACAGAAGTAACCAAAACACTGCTGTCCGAGTCGGAAGCCCACAGCGTTCCAAAGTGTTTCCAGGACAGTGAGCACAGTGTGAGCCGGGAACACAAACTCACTGCAACCAACCATTCTCCCAGGTACTACCAGGAAGTTAGACTCGGATGAATATCGATGACGGATAGTTTATGATAACAAAATACTGGCAAATATACAGATTAAAGGGTAAAAGCTTACACTAAAGGTGTCTAACATAAGGCACGGGGGCCAGAATCACCACAACAAAGACTCCCATGTGGCCAGGACTCATATCGCGATATGACATTTCTTATCCCAATAACAATATACATCGCAAAATAGTTTATTTTCTGTAAATACAGTGAATCTCAGGCAACTCGACTTGTGTGACGTGTTTTCAGCTGGGCGTCGATTGTAAGCGCCATTTATAGTTACCTCGTGTTTTTATCTGAGGTGATTTATTTGATGCATATTCAGAAATTTGATGTTTGAGAATAATGTCGATCGATCACAAACAATAGCATAATATGAAACAATAGATGTCTACATATCGTCATCTGACACATATCATTATATCAAACAGCACTACATGTGGCCAGCTGGAAGTGTTTGAAAATGTCACGAGAGTTTCAACTTTGAACGGTATTGTCCAGGTTTTGAAGCTTTTTCTATTTAGAAAAGTATAAACTCATCTCCACCAAATTAGTGAGGAAATATATAAATGACAGGAAAGTTCATGTTTTTCCATTTAAAAAACAAATATTTTCTTTGAATTGGAGCTTAAACATGTGAGAGGTTGATCGCGCAGAGAATCGCTGAGCTTATGTGAGTGTGTGTGTAAAAGCAGCAGGATATATATTTCAGTTCTGCTGAGCCAAATAAGACAGGTCAGGGTGAAGAAGTGACAGCCAAAGAAAAGCTTACCACAAAACGGAGAAGTTATGACAAATCAGACTATAAGGCAAAAAGAAAGTGCAGCTTTATGGTTTCATGGACAAAAGAATTTCTGTGGCTGCAATATGACGAGCTAAATAACCAGGGCTGCACATAAGTGGTCCGCAGGTGCGCATTCGCTGTCAAAATAAAAAACACGCACAAGATAAGAAGTTGCAACGCGTGTTTGCGTACATAAGATTTTCTGGAGGAGCAAATGGCCTCGATCTTGGTTCCACTTGTCTCTTACCCGTGACTTCAGTGGAAATTTCAAATTCAGGATCTGACACAGACTGATTCATGTCCTACACAGTTCTTACAAGTTCATAGAAATTTCTGTTCAATTAGAACCAAGTATTTGAGTTGATGATTGTAATTTTTATACAATGTTGTAATTTGTTTTTCAACAATTTTTGATTAATGTTTTGTTTCCTAAAGTATAATATTGTAAAGGAAACAAAACATCAATCAAAAAATTGCTCTCTTTTTTATTCGGGCTACTTACATTTATTTTGGGCTACCAAAAACTGAAGAGTCCCTGCCC